CATCTGGAATGTTCTTTCTTCAGAAATACAAAAAAGCTAATTTGGACTTCAGGGAAGATGGTGTAGTGGGCATCAGAAAAACGCCATGCTGAAATTTGGAATCCAGATGCTGGTATATACAGTAATGTGAGGAAGAGAAGGCAACTGGATCCCAGGGATTCAGCAAGGATCTGAAGGAAGAATTGGATGCCTTGGGGAGAGTGAGGAGATAGACTTCACTGAAGAAAGAGGTGGCAAGTGGCACTTTCTTCCTGAGCCCTGGCTCAGCATAGGAGGGTCAGCTCAAACCTGGAGATGCACTGTGACTACTGGTGACCCAGAGGCCTCCAGAGAAACACACCAGTGGGGCAGAGCAGTGAACCCAACTGCAGTGCCTGGAGAGTTGTTCAGGTTGACACAGCCCTCCGGAGAGGGTGACTGGCCAGCAGCCATCTCAGAAGGGAGCAACTGAGCTCAGAACTCAGACTGTAGGTTGGCTCCATCTAGTGGCTCCCAGCATCAGGGTAAGACATAGCCATATTCAAGCTGGCAAGAGATCAGAAAGCCAGGTTCAAGCAGCAGAGAGCTAAGTTTAAGCTTGCAGGAGGTACCTGGAGTATTTCAGGCTGACTCAGATCTCAGCCTCAGGGCCAAAAAAAAAAGAAGCAACCTAAAGTTCAGTAGAACTAAAGGCACAGGCTTGCTGGGATTATCCACCATCCCACCATACACTGAGACTGCTGGCTTACTAGGATTAATCAATATGGATCTGGGCAATGTCTAATCCCACTGTCTACCAGTGACAGCAAAGACACGCCCTAAGGAAGTCATTTTTTACTTCCTTTGCTTTTGATTGTTCTTGAGTTTGAACATTTCTAGTTTTGTTTACTCCTTGTCTCCCTCTTGTCCTCACCAGTTTCACACACTGTAAATAATTTCCCTTTATCCTCCAGCCTTCCTCCTAATCTCTTCCTCTATTTTTTTCCCTTAACCCCTTGTAAAATTTCCCCCCTGAAGTAAAAATCGCCATATTGAGGGGATTACTTATTACACACAACTTTCTGGTTTTTAGATTTTGTGTAACGGCAAATCTTGTTCATAAGGTTAAAGGTGGCAAATTAATTTATCAGTTTGTCTTTTTCTAAGCTGTTTGACGTTATGTGATTGTATCTTAGCCAAGATGACAAAACTGTTCAAATCAGTTGTTCTTCCTGATATGCCAAGTCCGAGACTATCTTCCTGCACTGCCTCCTGCTTTTGGTGGGGGGGGGGCAGGAATTTGAGACAGGGTCTCACTATGTAGTTGAGCCTGACCTGGAACTTACCATGTAGCCCAGGCTGGTCTCGAACTCACAGCAATCCTCCTGCCTCAGCCTCCCAAATGCTGGAATTACAGGCATATGCCACCACACCTAGCTCCTGCTTTTTCCATGACTCCAATCAATCATATATATTTTTTTTTCTTTTTTCGTACATAAAGACTATAGGCCAGTGCCAAAGAACTAGGGGCCAGGCCAAATAGGCAACAATTTCTCCTCCCTGATACATTAAAGAGGTAGGATTTTGCCACAGTTCAAAATCCAAAAGCCAGCTAGCTACACCTGGACACATCTCTGAGAAATAGTCATTTCCTAAAGGTTCTTGATACTAGCAATAAAGGTACCTATCATAAGCAATTTACAAGCATCAACACAGGAAGTAAACTAAAAAAGAAAAAATTAGGAAATGAGAAGACACAAAAACAAGATGCAACCCCAGACTTCCAGCTAACCAAAGGCAAACCCAAGGAGCGATGAGATGAAATGATCTGAAAGCCACTCACCTAGACTCTCTGAAGTGGTAACAGCAGAAATAAAGCAGATGAATGAGGCTCTAGGAAAAAACCAAAACAGAAATAATCTCTCAAATAACTACAGATATAACCATAATGAAGGACACAATTAGTGAGTGACTACATAAAAAACAGAGGAGCTTAGGAAAATTATGGAAGCCATGAATGCCCAACATAGGAAAGAAATGAAATTCATGAAAGATTCAGATATCCAGATTTAAAATGCCAATGAAAGTATAGCAGCAGAATGAACCAATGTGAGGATAAAATATCTGATCTACAAGACAGGATTGTGATTAATGATTATGAAAAGAAAGCTTTCTTAAAAATAGCAAGGGATCATAAAAAAAAAAAAATCAATCCAACAGCTCCTAGATGATGCAAAGAAGAGTAACATAACACTGGGCTGGGGATTTAGCTCAGTGGTGCCACTACCTGTCTCTCTTAAGTGCAAGGTCCTGAGTTTGATCCCCGGTACAAAAAACAAACAAAAACAAAAAAACAAAACAACAACGTAAGGTTGACTGGATCAAGGAAAAAGCAGGAGATAATGCAAACAACATTAAAAATGGTAAAAGAAATAGGGTGATGTCTTCCTTGTTTGACTGGTAATTAAACAGAACTCTTAGGTATTATAGATCACGTCTTTTGGAATCTTCCTGTATTGAAATTTAATAAAATTTTAACATACAAAAAACAAACAAACAAACAAAATAACCTGTTCACAGAAGGAATGGCAGATAACTTCCCAAGCAGGGAAAAAGAATTTGAAGACAGATAAGTGAGGCATATAGAACTCCAACAACAACAAAAAATCTACACTAAGGCATATAAAGGATCAACAACTGGGATCACATTAAATTAAAAAACTTTTTTGCATAGCAAAAGAAACCAAGAGTGAAGAGGCAACACACAGAATGAGGGGGGAAAAAAACATTTACCAGCTATTCCTCAGACAAAATAACATCTAAAGTGAAGAACTTAAGGAAATCAGACCCCTCCAAATTTAAAGACCCAATCCAAAACTGGGTATCTGAAAGTAAAAAGCACTTCTCAGATGAAGTAGAAACGGCAAATACATATATGAAAAAATGTTCAACATCACTGATCTCTTTCGAGAAGCAAATTAACACAGATTCCATCTCCAGAAAGAGTAGCTATTTTCAAGAAATCAACCAATCAATAACAAATGCTCACAAGGCTGTGGGGAAAAATGAACCCTTCTCCTCTGTCGGTGGGAGTGTAGACTGGTCAAACCACTGTGGAAATCAGTGTGGAGATTCTTAAAAAATCTAGAGGTTCCATTTGACCCAGCTTTTCCCCTTCTTGGTCTCTTCCCGAAATAATTAAAAGCATCTGGGCCAGTGATTCAGCTCAGTGGTTCCAGCACCTGCCTCACGAAGGCAAGGGCCTGTGTTCAACCCCCAGTACCAAAAAAAAAAAAAAAAGCATCATACCACAGTGATATATGTGCAAATGTTTACAGAAGCACAGTTGTAATAGCTAAATCTTGGAAACAGCCCAAAATGCTCATAAACCAATAAAGGTTTACTTTTATTATACAATGGAGTACTCTTCCATAAAGGATAAACCACAGACATTTCTAGGTAAACATATGGACCTTGAAACCATACTCTTAAGTGAAATAAATCAGACACATATGTAAATATTGCATTGTTTTCGGATGTGAGAAACTAAACAGTTATTTAAGGACCAAAATGTATAACAGATGTTGTGGAACAGAAAATGTTCACATGGGAAGGGGAACTGGGGTGGGTGAGGGGATAGAAGGAATAAAGGGAAACAAAGTTTTTATACGTAAGAGGTTGAAGGCAGGGGAGTGGAATGGGAAAAAGAAAGATATAATTGAGACTGTGAGATAGGGAGAAAATGGCTAAAGGGGAAGTGGGAAGAGGAGGGGAAAAGAAATAAGGGAAAAGAAAAACTGAAAAAAGAAAAAAATGGAAACGAAGTCTTTGTAAATAGGGAAAGGTGAAGTGGGTGAAGGGACGGCAGGGGTATGGGGAAAAAACAAGAAACAAGACAGATCCCAATGATAAATGTAACTGTATTGCTTGATGTAAATGTGCCAATAAACATAATGGGAAAAGAAAAAGATGTATCATATACAGGTAAAAATTCCCTCTTAATGTTGTTACATATCTAAAATATGTCAATTAATTTTTATAAAAGCTCATTTACCTCTCAGCTTAGGTTACCTTTTATGTATCATTTTAGCAGAGGAAGACATCTCCCGATTAAAATAAACACTCTCTGTAATTATGCCAGTCTCTATCTCCTTGCCATACTTTATTTTTTATAACACATTTTTCCACCTAAATTCCATATTTGATTATTTTCTATAAGCAACTGGCAAACCTAGGCTCAATACTTGAGAAACAAATAATCTGAAAGAGAAAGCCAAGCTGACAATTAACCAGGTAGTGTAGCATCTTTCAATGTAAGGGTGCCAACCTGTGGCAGGAACTCCTTAGTATAGTTGAGAGGTCCCAACCTCTGAAAGACACACGTAGTTGGCTTCTCCATTGCTGAACCTACAGATTTAATCAAATGCAGACCAAAATATCTGGGGGGCAAAGAAATTTGTATCATCTCATCAATACAGTGTAGCCACTATTTCATATCATTTATAATGTCTCAGGCATCATCAGCAGAGATGGCAGAAAGCTTACAGGAGGATGTGCATGTACTACATGCAGGAACAATACCATTTTACTAGGAGGAATTCAGCAGCCACAAAAGCATGGTTCTCAAACTGATCCCCAGTGAGGATCTGGGAACACAACCGTACATATACAGCAAGTAGAGTGGTACTGCAAACCCCAGGCTGGAAGCTCACAAAGTTAGAACTACTGACTCCTCCACCAATCAAGAAAATTAACAGGCAATCTGACCTGTTAACCTGAAAACAGATATGGTGATCAAACCATCCATGCCTATTACTCAACTCAGACATGAACTTGTTAGTTCCCAGCTATACATTTCAAAATAATTCTATGATTTCAAACTCATACAACTAAATTTACATTAAAAAGGCACTATTTTACATATGTTAAGCACTAACTAGATGTTAAGATGGGAAAATATATTCCAGGTCCACATTTTCCTTTGAAGGTTAAAATTTTTATTTTTGAGAATTCTTTTACTGCACATTTCCAAAAAAGAGTCACAAAAGAAAGCAAAAATGTTGTCCTCCCCCCATTCTAAAAATAAATAAGGGCAAACTTTTTTTTTTAATCATGACACTTAGAAGTTTAGCACCAGCATCCAAAATGAAAAAGGAAAAAAAAAAAAAAAAAAAGCATTTACTACATAACAATTCCAGATTTCTTTGGTTGGGGAACTTTCCCATGTAGTATATTTCTTCTTTCAATTACCAAAACAGTAAAAACCTGGAAAAAATATAAACCTAGTGGTAGCTGAAACTGGGGGGATGCTCTCCTATGTCTTGTGCTGGCATTGCTGGGCTTGCAGCTGGCTAGAAATATCTTCAGACATCTTCCTCTTGAAGTTGTTAGTTTCTCAAAGAATAATGGTAAACATTCCAATGTCCAAATCTTACTGAGTCATCCACTTTATTGCTTAGATGTTTCTTTGGTGTTGGTAAGGTTTGCTTTATTTTTGAATGGTTATTCTTTGGATCACCTGGAAAAAATAAAAATCAAATTTACCAAGAGTGACAAAATGACAGCAACAGAAATTATTTTTCATAACTAAAAAACAGTACTTCAGAAAGCTCTAAACGAAGTCTATTCACCTTATATACATTTGTAAACTATACATTAATTTGAGAAAAACGCTCACTTATAAAATACTTGTACAAGCCAGATGAGTACATTAGTATAGATTTTGAAAACTGTATGGAAGAAAACCATCACAAGGCCCTTACCAAGTAAACTACACCAACACTAACTCTTCAAACATTTAGTCACTGTTGCTTCTCCTCCAGGCAATATTATCATTACTTAGCCGCTTCCCCAGTACCAGACAAACTCTAAGTAGTAAAAACACCTTTTCCTTCTTTTTTCTGGGGGGAGGACTATACTAAATAACACTACTCAGAGTAAAAGGCTACAGCCATTTCAAGGTGATTAGAAAGTTTCCACCAGCTTGAACCACTAATGGTACATGCATGACTGTTCCCCTCAGGTACAAAGAGATCTGTCTGATCACTTTTATCGGCCTTTTTATTAATAAAATTAATTAAGTCTATGAATGGACAAAACCTAGCTAGTTGCTTGAATTTGAATTATATTAATATTGTTCAAACCAATTAAAATTTATTAGTATAATCAACACAAATTTTTAGGCAATCTGTGCCTGTGGTATTTCATCATAGATTAATGGTTTACCAATAATTAATTCTCTAAATTTTTTTAAGCATGGAAACTGTACACGTCCCCCATTGCTGGTGTATATAATACCCATTTACAACTTCTTTATTATAAATCAGCCATGTTACAATTTTCTGTACTGTTTTTAATACCACTTTAACGTTTCCCTTTAGGAACTATAATATGATGACACCTGGTCTGCTAAATCGATGCCTTTCTTCGCACTATAATCAAAGGCAGCCCCAAGAAGTGGTATCAGCCACCCCATTGGACAGTCATGCACGCATACAGGGTTTCAAGCTGGTGGGAACAATAGAATTCAAATTAGAGCCACCTGTCATAAACGTGTTACTACATAACCCTAAGTCAGGTAATGGAACTTCGAATAAGGAGTCCATGATAAATGTCCATGCTACCCAGAGATAAAACACTGTGCTGCTACACAGCAAAATCTACTGAATGATTTAAACCCCACAGCAACACACATAAAAGCAGCTAGCATAAGAGAGAAGAAACTCACAATAACTTTAAAACTTTAAATAATGGTTACCAAAGGAAAAGGGGGGGATCCAATTTATAAAGACAAGACCATGTCAGTTTAAAATTATCAAACTGGCTGGCCACTAGGTGCCAGAAATGCATCAGTTTTCCATGGTGGTAGTGAGAGTTCAAAGCTGTCTTTAAAAACTTGACTGGCATCAGCTTTGCTAAACCATGTTAAACCCCAAAATTTATCCAAATAAGGTCAATCCCAGAGATACTGAGCCACCCAGTTTTTCCCTAGAATCCAGTGAACAAAGGGCTGCCACAGATGAATCACAGAATGAGTTTAAACCACAATGCGCCACCATGGAGAACTCAGTGACATTTACAGGAGGTAGCTCCAGGCCAGGCACCCCGCTCTTACCCTGCTGGTGGTGAAGGGGCCTGGGGAGCTGGTGTCACTCAGCACTGCTCTGCTGGGCGGCCGGAGCCGGGTTCTCGGCTGGTGCTTCACCTGCCTTGGTCTACAAAGCACAAAACCAAGTCATAAACCAGAGAGGAACCCACCAGACGACCACAGAAACTATGAGGCTCAAAGGTCTCAGACTGAATTTTCCTGCCCAAGAAAAATCACCATGCAAAGCATGAGTGACTCGTATGAGCAGGAGTAAAAAAACCATTGTGCAGCAGAGGCTGGCAGATGGCCCCTGAATGTCATGACTCCACGGTCCCTGACGTAGAGTCCAGTTTCCAGCTCACTCAGACAGCTTCCCCGCCCCATCCAGAATGACAGCCCCACACGCGCTTGTGGAGTCCCCATGAGTGCGGTCCTTTCAGAGAATGTAAGCGAGCTGGATCCAGACATTTGCTGTATGTGCAGGGCACGCTCCTTACAAAGGTGAGCCTCAAGTAAGCTGCTCCACTCAAGCCAGGCAGGGGCCAAGAGGCTGAGGCAAGAGGACCATAAACGTGAACTCAGCCAGGGCAACCTGGAGAGAGCTCGTCTCAAAATTTTAAAAAGGGCCAGGGATTTAGCTCAGTGGTTCCGCCACCTGCCTTGCAATCACAAGGACCCCGAGTTTTTTTGGTACCAAAAAAAAATTTTTAAAAAAGGATGCAGCTTAGTACATAGGCCCCAAGTTCAATCCCCAGCCACACACACGATGCTAAAGTCGGACGGAACGGAAACTGGTCGGCAACATCCCTTCCAGTTGGCGAGCATTACCTCTTTGCCATCTTGCAAAGGAGCATTCGGAGGGCGTGGGCGACGCCGGTAGTTGTAGGGACGGCGGTAGCCACGGTGAGCAGTGGCCTGGTTTGGACCACTGGCCGCTTGTTGGTTCTCTTTGTCCTCAGCCTCTCCCATAGGTGCTGTGGGTCTCGGGCGAGGAGGCCCTCTAGAGAGAAAGAGAGAGAGAGGACACTGAGACACGCAGAGGACGTGGGATGCCTGAGAGCTCACTGTTAAAGTCAGCCTGCAGGGACACATGCCTGTGAACTCTGCCCCAGGAGACTGAGGCAGGACAAGACAACCCAAGGCCAACCTGGACAATGTAACTGCGTACCATCTCAAAAAAAAAAAAATGGTCATTACTTACAGCTAGAATTATTTACAGCGAATGGAACAAAGGTTTTAATGGAAATACCTTCTCTGCCACTTGTTTTCTTGATTAGAACATCCCTTACCCAAAATAGTTATTGCCAGATGCTTCAGGTTCAGTTTTCTGGAACTTTACTAATGAGCATCCTCAGTGCAGAATTCCAAAATCTGAAATGCCTCAAAGGGCAAAATGTTTAGTGTTATTTTGGTACTCAAAAAGTCCTATATTTTGGAACATTTGGGATTTTTGGTTTGAGGATGCTCAACCTGTACCTGAAATGTGTCAACACAGATTGAAAAAGGACCTTAAGGAGTACGGTTCACGGAGACAAAGCAGAAACAAAATAAACCACTCCAATCACGCTAACACCAATATGGTAACAATTTCTAATATTTATCGGAAGCGCTACACTAATTATCTCAGATACACTCATATATTTAATCTTATGAGTCACTGCAGAGTTTTTTTTTTTCTTTTTTTGGACAGGCTCTCACTATGCAGTTCAGACTGGCCTTAAAGTCTCTATATACCCCAGGCTGGCCTTGAACTTGAGGCAATCCTCCTGCTTCAGCCTCCTGGAGTGCTGGGATTACAGGCCTTTGCCATCATGCTTAGTTGTACAGCATTTCTTGATATTCAATTTACAGACCTGAAAACCCCAGCTTAGAGTCCAGAAACCTGTTCAAGGCCATACAGCCCCTAAATTACAAAGTGGAATTTAATTATACAAAACACACTCCACAGCATGCTTTAACTTACACTATACTGTCCCAGTTAAAAGTCAGAACAAATACTGATACACAAATCTTTATTCAAATTACCCTACCAATTAATTTCTGCTTATTTCACTTAACTTAATAAAAATTAAGTATCAAGCTGTGTGGGACATCGCACCAGCCTGTAATCCCAGCACTCCGGGAGGCTGGGCAACTCAGCAACTCAACAACACAGTATCTCAAAATGAAAAAAGGGATGGAGACAGATGGAAATATAAAGAGGCAGAAAGGCTTGGAGTTCCATCTTCAGGACCACCCAAAAAAGAGAAAAAGTACAGTGGACAGAAGCCGAAGGATCTGAATAATGGTGTGCTGGAACACTCGAGTTCCCACAGAGGGAAGGAGGTCGCGCTGCTAGCACAAAACACCTGTGGGTGTGGCCCAAGACGCCACGCCTCTTCACAGACACAAGCAGCACCGTTCACGGGACACGGCTTGGAGAGTGGCACACACCTGCGGTACCGTGGGCGGGAGGTCGGGTTCCGATGCACCGGGCCCTCAAGCTGAGCTCCCTGGGGCACTCCGTCCTTCAGCTCCCCGATCTCACCAGCCTGGGGGTGAGGAGAACTGGAAGTGAGTAATGTGGCACAGGAAGAGGCACAGAGCACACCCAACTGTTTCTCAGAGCAAGCTCAGTCCGCTAGAACAGTTACCCCACAACATCTCATCTTACTAACTTAACTTTCATTTTGTTTTGTGGAAACAGGGTCCCACTATGTATTGCGGGCTAGCCTTGTACTATGGAGCCCAGGCTGACCTCAGACTCATGGCTATCCTCCTGCCTCGGCCTCCTGAATGCTAGGATGACGGGTGTGGGCCACTACACCCAGAAACATTTTAAAATCTCATGTGTTCAATTTACAAGAAGTGTAATAATATACTATATTGGAAAATGAGATGTTTTCAGCATTGTTTCAAACTCAGGCCCATAACTGTCCAAACTAGTCTCTTCTCAATCCCATTAAGGGTTTCTACAGAGGTCCGTCTGAATCTTAACTATGGGCAGGGTGAAGCTCAGTGCTAAGAATGCCTGCTTAGTATGTGCAAGGCCCTGGTTCAAAATCCAGAAAGGAAAGAAAAACACAAAACACATCTTTGCCTCTGATTTCTTCCGACTGATTTTTTTTCTTATTTGTGTTATGTATAATGTTTAAGAAGAGTCGGGTGTGGTGGCACCACTCCTTTCCACCTTTTAAATTTCAAGACACACACAAACTTCTTAAGACAAGGTGAAGTGTGGGATCCAATCCTCAGACCTCGTCCGAGTCGACCCAGAGAGTAACTTTCACAACCAGCTGGCCCGCCTGAATCTCGCACAGCCTTTATTCCAATTTTTGGTCTGGGAGGTTTCTACAAACTTTACTTGGTATGACCGTGACACGTTGGAAGAATGACAGGCCAGTTACTCGGTAAAATTCCCCAGCATCCTGGATGTTTGGCAGTACCTAGATTTAGTTCTGCCTTCCTTGACAGGGGAAATCACGGAAGTTACACTGCACTCCCCGCGGCATCCTGCTGGGGGCACAACGCCTCAGTCCCTACCTCCATCGAATGCTGCTCTCCTTTGCTAAGGGGTGAGGCAGCCTGCACAGCTCCTTCACTGTAAGTTTGCTCTCTGCCTCTCTGTAATTAGTTGGGCCTTTATGGGAAGCCCATACCTTCAAAGTCTCACTATCTTTACTCATCCAACTTCCCGGCATGTCCATTTATTCATTTAGATCCGAATGGACCGTTGCCTTCTGTTTTCTTCCGTGGGCTAGTCTGTTACTGCCATTCCTGGCTCCCGTCCTCTACCGTGACCCCAACATTCTCTGAGTAACTGCCCTATGAGGGAGACTTACAAGCAAAGCCCTGGGCGGCAGGTACGCGCGGAGCTGTTAAGGCATCGCTCACTTGGGGCCTCGGTCACCAGAGCTAAGACACCTGCGTGGCGTGGACACACGTGGTCTGTCTGTGTACAGGAGGGTGGCAAACATGCACCCCCACCTGACCCACCACACCTTCTTCAGAAGTAGCTGGTGTGAGATCAGGGGTGAGGAGTCTGGGATCTCCCCCCTGTACAAAGAAGCCAAATGAAACTCTCCCCTGACCTCACGTCCTCGGCAGGGAGGACCTTACTTCCCTCGACAGCTCCTCACTGCACCTCCAGAGGCGCTTCCGTCCGCTGGGGGTGCATGACGCTCCTGCACCCACTCATTCCCGGCCACACCGAGGACCCCTCATGTCTTCTCGCTGCCGGACAGCACTGAGCATTCCCTCCCTTCCACACGCTCCCGGGTGCTCACCACTGCCCTTCACTGGCCAAGCCTCCCCTTCCCGGCCCCAGAACCCAATCCCAGGATCATCTCCCACTTCCACCCTATTAAAGTCTCGCTTTAGGTATCACGTTTCCCAACTCCAAAGTTACAACCATGGTCCTGCGTCTCCCCTGGGGACGCCACCCCTTTGCCCCTCACCACCTTGTTCCCTAGCTTCCTCCGCTGAGCTCCCTCCTCAGACACCACCACCCCTAAGATCACACCTTCCTCCTCCAGCTCCTTCACCTCCGACTCTGCTTTATCCTTCTGCCAACCTGACGTGTCTGCTGAACTGGTGAAAAGACCTCTGCACTCTTTTTCAATCTCCAACTCAATTCTTCCTTCAATCTCTCTCTGTATGAGGCAAGGCCTCACTCTGTAACCCAGACTGACTCAAATGCACAGAGATCCTCCTGCCTCAGCCTCCCAAGTGCTGGAATTACAGGTATCACATCTGGCTTTCCATTCATTTTTTACATCTAAAAACCACAGAGAATTAGTTTACTCTTCATACTACACATTCGCATACACAAATGTTGTCGCCTTTATGTTTAAGTATTTCCCAAAGCAGACCACTCACTTTCACTACTGCTACTCAAATCCTACCCCTGACCAACTGTCCACTGGGAAACCAGGCATCCTCAGGACCTAGTACCGACAACTTTAAAGCAGCCTAATCACAAGAGAAAGGCTTTTCAAATTTTCATTCTTTTGCTGTTGATTTGGCTTATGGAGACTTCTAAGTCACACAAGACAGCATGGAGTGGAAATCTTCTGACAGAAACGTCAAGACCAAGAGCACTGTTCCTTCCCACTCAGAATGGGGGAGGTCGGCCGGCGTTAAGACAACTGCATGAAGGCGGGGTGAGGGCAGGGACCCTGTGGAAGGGAGCCGGAACCTGGCTTCAGCGAATGGCATCCTACAAGGCCCTGCATCGTCAGTTCCTAAGGGCAAACATTCCTGGAAGACTTGAAACAGAATCACCATGCTTTCAGAAAACATAACACAGCACATACACTAAATAATGAGCCTGCTTATCTCAGGAAAACACTAAAAGGCACCAAAAATAACCCTGCATTACAATCTCACGACACTTCCTAGAAGCCCACTGCCTCCTGAACCCAGTGTCTCCATGCGTGTTAGTCTGGCCGTTAGAGCACACTTGTTGGGGGCAGCTGCTCAGGAGTGGGAGGGAAAAAGCAAGAAGCAATAGAGAAAGAACAGTCACACGGAATGGGATAGGAGAAGGGCAGCAAAGCGAGACTACGGAACATGATTCTCAGTCAGAACACTTTGGGGGACACAAGGGCATGAAAGAGGAAAAGCCTGCAGCTGGTGATAAAAATTAAACTGTGAGAATATATTCCTCCTTTTCCAACTGCAAAGCTGGTATGAGGCTTATTAATAATAGCAAACTTGACATCAGCTCTACTAATATTTTGTAGTTAAAAAGAAAAAGGAAAATAAACAGCCAACAACGTCCATCTTTACGGTAGTTTTCTTTAAAACTCAGCACCATCTCCTGGAGATGCAGAGCTTTCTAAGTGTTTCGTGCGCTGGACTCATTAAACACCCCTGAAGTTTACCGCCTGGCTTTAAGGCCCCCATTTTAAAACGTAGATTAATCTGTGAACCTCAAAGATGGGAGCAGCCGCCAGGCCTGAGCCCAGCCTCAAGGGAGGACTTCCCAGCCCCAGCCCCTGCACAGCCACCGTCGCAGTGCTTCTTTGGCCCTTCCTGTGCCCCTACTGCCTGCCTGCCGCCAGGGCCCCTTCTGCCGGCTCCTGAGCTGTGCTCATCTGCAGGAGGCCTGAGCGGCTGGCATTGGAGGAGGAGGAGCAGGAGGAGGATCAGGAGTGGAGGAGGCAGAGAAGGGCAAGGTGAGGACGCAGAGTCCCAGGTGCGAGTTACCTGCATTCTGCTGGGCTGGGGAAAGAGCCGGGGGCGGCGGTCAAAGCTCTGTCCCACGTGGTAGGGCGGGAAGCGCCGCTGCCGGTACCGAGGGTGAAACTGGGGGTGACACAGTTGGCCCGGGGCCCCCGAGAACTGCCCGTCAGCCGCGGGGGGCTCGAATCCTTCACTGCTGCCGCTCCCTGCCTCCTCCTCCTCCCCAGCATACTAGCGAAGCAAAGAAACAGAGATTCAGAAGCAGTCCAGGCAGGGAAGGAACCGGAGAACATCAGGTCGGAGGAGCACCCCGAAAGCTTGGAGGGTCCGCTCCCGGCACGGACGTCGCCTTCGGTACGCAGAGAAGGTGCAGTTAGCCCGGGCCGTTCTGTGGTTCCTGGGACAAGCGACTGGGCCTCCAGTGGGTCCGTGCAGCTCAAACCCCAAGCAGCAGCAAAGCACAAGCGGCCTGTAACAGACGGCCTGTAACAGACGTACCAGCGTCCTCACTGCAGCAGCCGCCCCAGGCCCCGGGAGATTCAGTGCCCCGCGCCTAACATCGGCAGCCACCGAGGGACTTAGGGTGATGCCCAGAAAAAATGGATTCTGTGACATCATGAGCACATCAGACCTAAGCGTCTACTACAGCGGCTCTGGAAACGTGGACGCCTGAGGAGCAACACGGACACGCTGCGTTCTCCCGCGCCTGCTCCTCTCCCGCCATCCACAGACCGAATTACATCACAGGGGCTGCAGAGCCGGCTGCTGCCTCTGCCACGCACATAGCAAAGGCAGGCGCACAAGCAATAGCCTTTTACATACATTTACAGTAACGTGAGTTACTTTAAAAATACTTCAGATTTCTTTTACTACAAAAACACAAACTCTAGGATCCGCAATAGCTAAGCATAAAAATACACTCCAAAACCAAAAAGTCTGAGAATCAATGACCTATATGGCATAACTCTTTTTATGTTTAGACCGTTTTAATTGTACTTCCTAATACAATTAATTAGGGTCAGGATTGACCATTTCTAAATGCGGACCTCATTAGCAAAGGGAATTAGTAACTCATTTTTTATTATTTTATGTATTTACACTAGTACATCACACATGACCATTTTATATTTTAACAAATTAAAACAAGCACACAGCTGTCAAAGAATCTGTGATTTCAAATTTACTCTCAGGAATATAGAAATCACTAGTGTTTATAAGTAACTATAGTTTTTAAAAATGACTGAAGTATGAGATGTACATATAGCAATTCCCTACAGGGAATGTAAACATAACACGATGTATATACGAATATAAATTTTAAAACGATGCCAACATTTACTAGGAAATTATTTCAAAATATTAAAAAATAAATGAGCTACACACAGTAACATATACCTGTCATCCCAGCTACTGGAGAGGCTGAGGCAGGAGGGCCACAGGTTCAAGCCCTGCATGGGTAAGTTAGGAAGATCCTGCCATAAAATTCCAAAATGCAAAAAGCTCAGTGAGAAAGCGCTGGGTTGAGTTCCCAGTCCCCGGGCCATGTGCACCTGTGCGTTCCCCGCACACCCCGGGAGAGTAAGTATAAGATGGTGTAAACTGTTGAGATCGTGCCTGTGTCTCCTACGTTTATGCAGCCAAGTATTTCACTGAGCATTGCAAGGCAATGCTGATGACCACCAGCACTGCGGCACTGGAGCCCCATCTCCACACACCAAGTGTTCTGAAAAAAATGTTTATCGGTATCTTTCCCAGGTCTTGGAGGGAAAGGTCTTTGAGGAAAAATTCCTACTGAAGATTTTTCTATTTTTACTTCAGAATTGGCCTCACAGCCAAGTCTCAGCCTGAGCTCTATGAATGCAATGAGCCTAAGAATTTGCAGTGACCAGTGCAGTCGCGCACCCAACCCCAGCCTTCACAGCTCATTATTACAGGGGTAGTGAGTAAAGCAAGGGTCAGAAAAATAGGCAACATGCCCTGAGGAATGATAAACTCAGTGTGGGCAGGGTAACAGAGTAAAGGGCAAAACCATTTACCTAAGGAGAAAAACAGGAACCTATGATAGAGATAAATTATTCTCAATCTGCATGTATTTCAACTATGAGACTTTTGCATGACAATGGGTAGCCACCATCCTGTTAGATGTCTGTTTTGTTATATTGGACACTGAGCCCACCAGGGCGGTACACTGAGCTATGTATCTCTGGCCACTTTTATTTTTTACTCTGAGACAGGGTCTCACTAAATTGCCCAGGCTGGGCTGAAATTTAGTCTTCCTGCCTCAGCCTCCCCAGTGCTGGAAAGACAGGTGTTACCATGCCCAGGTGGTAGCTACCACTCCGTATTCACGCAAAGGAGCCTGAGTTTTATTCCATGCTGCTAACCCCTGGTTCTAACTCCACACATATCAAAAATCTAGATAACGGCATTCTCTTATTAATTCAAGTCTAGTGTGGTCCTCACAAGCAAATAAACTGAGCTTTTTATTTCTGCCTTGAAAACATTCCTTTAAATTGAGCAGCTTGCCAGGTGTGGTGGCACACACCTGTATCCCAGCACTCAAGAGGCTGAGGCAGGAGGATCACCATGAGTTCAAGTCCAGCCTGGACTACAGAGAGATCCTGTCTCAAAAATAAATTAAAAATTAAAAAATAAATAAATTGAGCTGCTTATGCAAAAGCTCTAGCCAGACAGGGCTTATGAATTTCTTCATCTGGATTGGGACCAATCAGAAGGACTAAAAGTCTGAGAATTCTCCTTCTTTACTTTGGAGAAACAGGAAAACACTATGCTGAATGAAAGGCTATGGGTAATTTCTGAGCACTAAAAATTTCCCTTTAGAAAAAGAAGTACTAATCACTTGTCCTGTCTCCAGAAGACAGTGAACCATGCACCCCAGGTACATACTCCAGGTTCATTTTAGACACAGAAAAAGCTCCCAACCACGATGAGGAACAGAGACTTACAGTGCGGGGCGGTCCCCGGCGCCGGCCATAGTAGCCCCGGCGGTAACGGCGGCGATCGGCAGCATAGCGACTCCCTTCCACGGGGACTCCGTCAGGCCCAGTTACATTGGCCGCTTCTGCACCCTGAGGAAGAAAAGAGACATGGGTGGCCCCCAAATTAACATGACGCCAAGCTCACCACCCCCCGAACCACAGTGGGAGACAGCTGGTCTCCCAATGGCCGGGCACAGTGAGAATTCCTACTGCCATCTCAGAAATAGACTTGGATTTATAAAGAAAGGCGCTTGGCCTTCTGGTTTAGCACCCATCTGGCTAAACAATGCCTCCCTGTCTGGCTGTGCCAAGTATGAGAGCTGTGTGCACCTCTTCAGAGGACAAACTGCTCAAAATGCAAAAGAACTGCAAAAGCAGAAATGACATGAAACCAGGAAGAATGTTTCTCAATGGACGAGAACTGAGATGTTAATCGTCCTAGACTGAGTTCACACCCGCGTCACCAGAGCGGGACTCTGAGTCTCCAGGGACAACTTCCTGTAGCTCTGCCAGCACTCAGCTAGGAATGAAGAAACCTGTCCCACTGCGGCAGCCATAAAAGAGTCCCTGACATTGTAAAGTAGTCTCCACACTGTCACCCTTTCCAGACTTGCAGGTTCTTATTCTCAGAGACAGGTAGGTAAAATAATGTCAGCCAGGTGTGGTGGCACAGGCCTGGACTGCAAAGCAAGATTCTGTCTCAAAATAAAATAAAAATAACCACAAATCTAAGAACAAATTGGGACAAAGGAGACTCAAGAGAGTCAATTTGTTGGGCTGCAGTTTTTAAATGGTTTTACTCTTGGCCTTCATTGTTTTACTGATACCTGTAACAGACTACTGAGATCAAAACATAAGGGCATTAACATACTTTAATAATGGCATAAAACAATTCTGTAGATATTCTTCAAACTAAGTCCTCAGCAGCCTTCTGGGTTGAACACTTCTAAACAAAACTTTCATACAGTCAAGATGCCTTCAGCTTTTCAAAGTCCAAGCCCAAAAGAGAAAGCAATGAGTACATTCAGTGTGATTCTCCTTTTATGAGAATCAAGCGCTCTTAGCTGTGTACTACTAAGTAGAAACGCTTACAAATCAGTCTGAAAGTTTATGGAAAGACATCTCTTTAAAGCAGCTTTCACCTATATTCAATGCCTCGAGGCAGCTCACTTTTAATATTAGGTTCCAAAATAAAACTGACCTCTTTAAATTTTTGAGAAACTAGTTTTTCCATGAAGTTTATCATTTATTAAGTGAAAAGCTGAGTTTTAATATATCAAAGTATATTTATATAACCACATTAAAAAATCAAAGATATTTCTACCTAAAACTTACTTCCTCCCATCATAGAAAAACAATCACGAGTTGGGCTGAAGACTACTTTACTTCTCTCACAACAAGATTATGAAGCAGCATTCTTTGCTGCCCAACCACAATTTCTCACCTTTTCTCCTTCGACCACATCAAACTCCACAGTTTCTCCATCTCCAACGCTGCGCAGGTATTTCCGGGGGTTATTCTTCTTGATGGCAGTCTGCCACGGAAACAGAAAATCCCACCTGAGGTCTAGAGTTCCATTTTGGCTGATACCAAAATGACTCACTGCCGTCAGGCCAACACAGGCCAGCCTGCCACTACTTTTAAATGGTCCTCCTCCCACAAACCAATGATTTCTCCAGAACAACAAAGCAAAACAAATAAAAAATGCCACACAACTCTGCATCACTTCCTGGTTTGTGCTAGTCTTCGGAAGTTCACTGTGGTAGTGAAATAGTTACTACAAACTCATTATGCCCCATCACCATCATGATAGTGAACGGTTATGTCAAACTGTCAAGCTTCTAAGATTCAGACTATAGTTCCATCAGCAAGGGAGCATCCTGCTTTATGAGATTTTACCTAGAAAAACACCCCCGCTGTGTTTAAGAAACTGCTAACTGCTAACAGCAAAGTAATTTCTGAACTGGGTGTGGGAGCCTAGGCCTGTAATCCCAGCCCTCAGGAGGCTGAGGCAGGAAGATCGCTGCTTCGAGGCCAGCCTGAACTACATATGAGACGCTGTCTCAAAAAAAACAACAAAAAAGTAATTTTTGAAATATAGGTTGCAGAGCAGATGACAAATAGAAAAAGGAATTAAAACATGCCACGGGGACAAAGAGCTCTGACAGTAAGCATGAGAACCTCAGGAATTAAACCATGTTAGTGGCAGATGTAGTGACACACACCTTTAATCCCAGTTAAGGGGAAGCTGGGGCAAAAAGATCATAAGCTCAAGGACAGCCTGGGAAACTGAGCAATACTGTCTCAAAATAGAAACAGGGCTAGGGATGTAGCTCAGTGGCAGAGGGCCTGCCCAGCTTGTGAGGCCCTGGGTTCAACACCTGGAAATGGAAAGTTAAAAAAAAATATCTTTCCTCAGCCATCCCATCCCACAGTCAAGGAGACAGTGAGGGGCTGACAGGTGGTTTATCTGAAGTTACAGGAAAATCCATATCCCTGTGCTTTATCTGTACGGCATTTATTCAACCTGTTTCTCTTTATAGTATTCACATTCCAGCTGATAGATTTTCTGGTAATACACTGAACACATAACAACACATGGAAGATGATGAGGGTGCCCTTCTGCATTACGTATCAGCTCGGCTTAGGAAAAGGCGGCTCTCTTCTCCAGCACCGGGACTGGGAGGAGGGAGTAACCACTGCACCCAGTCCCCATTTCCCTGCTGGCCTCTCCTCCATGGCTATAGGGTGAGTCTGTGCAAGTAGGTCAGCCTCACTTTATAAGGCTGATTAGGCATGTGTCACCCAGCCCTTCCCCTGCTCTGAGTGGGAGGGAAAATGAAAGAGGGAGCAGCAGGGCAGAGGCCTCTCCCAGAGAGGTGGCCGGCCAGGACTCGGCTCCCAGGCAGCCCCTCCCTTCTCCCTGCAGAACTGGGCAGGCCTGGTTCCCAAACTGCTGCTGGAATCAGGTCAGACTGGACCCTGCTCTCCTCCAGGCAGGGCCCTTCCTTCGGGGATCATAAGTAACACTTCCCTTCCAGGCTGTGGGGGTCTGAGAGATCCCTGCATCCCAATTAAAAATCAAATGATCTCCCTGCAGTAGAAATGTATCCAGTCAAGCAGAAATAAAGGATAAAAACCGCAAAGAGAGCTTTTCAGACACTTTTTAATCTCCAACCCCCAAATGCCACCTCAACACACACAAAACTGGACAGAAAAACAAACAGAAAGCCAGATGTGACAAAGCCCAGGGCAACACGCCTCAGAACCTGACACGGATGACTTCCTTGTAGTCCTGCGGTGAAAACTCCTACTTCAGGCAGCTCAGAAAACCACAGGGACAAAAAGACAGGTGTAACTCCTCCTAAGCTATTTTCCAAAGCAAGCAATTTAGGGTACCTAATAACAGGATGGATAACATTCAAGGCCAATCACATAATGAAAGACTGAGACACCTGCAGCAGAAAAATTCATCTCCTCTGCTTCATCTCATCTTATTCCCTTTTGATTACTTCCTTAAATGGAAGGACCTGGACAGGTGCTAAGCACTCTCCGTCTAACAGGAGGGCTGCCCTGGGAAGCCAAGTGTCCTCACATCCTCACGTGGGAGACACACACCCCAAACATCTGCCGCTCACGTCCGGGTGGAGGAAGGCTTCCAACCAACGCCCACCCCACTGAAGCCAGGCTGCTAGAAGGGCCCGGATGGAGAAAGGGCGCTAACAGGAGCAAACGAGACTTTGCTAAGGACATAGAAGCTTTAAAATGAGAAATGAGCTCTAAGAAACCAGCGCAGAAAGTTTAAAATACAATCACAATTAAATTTCAGGTCTCACTCAGGGAAAAAGAACACTTCCCAGACATCTCCCAACACCTGTCAGCCCTCTTACCTGATGGACAAATACATCTTCTTTGGTGTCATTTCTGTTGGGAGACAAAAACAACTCAGTTAAAGGTCCAAAATATGTAGAGCAACTTAGAACAGGTATGTTATGAATTTTAGCTCTCAAGACCTAAAAATCCAACATAAATGTTTGTTTATCCTCCTCACTCAATCTAGCCAGCCAGTACTGATCCTCACTAAACACTTATACTCACAAGACACCCACCTTACCCTCACATTACCAGGGTGCTTAGGGAGGACTCAGCAAACAAACATCCCTCTCCCTGCCTGTCTCTTTCTAAATCACACGGCATGTAATCAGAGCCCCAACTTTCCTCCCAGCAGAAGCAAAGCAAGACAGTTAAAAGGACAGGGCACAGCTGTGAACCAAGCTCTCCTTACACTGAAATTTAAAACAGCCACCCCAACCCCACCCCACCCCACCGACACAGACTGCACACAACACAAACTGCCGACAGCAACATCCCAAGAGTGTGCAGCTGCCCTTGTTTCTCCTATGTGGGAAGGAGCTGCCACTGCTTGGAGAAGGCCCTGCTTCCCTCAGGACTCAGCCGGGAACCCACGCCCCGTCGGCACCCCTCAGGAGAGCTGCCTGATCACGCAGGGCTTCGCTCCTCCTCCTGTGAACTTTTGGACATGGACTCAGTTATCCCAAGTCTCTTCCCACTCCTGATTCTATTTTTGGCAATCCTCTTTCTTTTCACGATTAGATTCATGAAATCAGCTTGAGTTCTAGAAACTTATTTTAATCAATATTTAACGACCATCGCCTTAGACAGAATATTTACAGTGTTAAGAAACCTCCAAACTTACAGAGCCCACTAATAAAGTATGGTAAGGGGTTTGCTGTCATGGCTAGTGCCACGACACAAGCATAAATTTAAAACACAGAGACACAGAGGGGTGTGGTGGCACACGCCTGTAATCCCAGCACTTGGGAGGCTGAGGCAGGAGGATGGCTGTGAGTTGGAGACCAGCCTGAGTTACATAGTGAGTTCCAGATCAGTCTCAACTACATAGCAAGACCCTGTCTCAAAAACCAATAAATAAATAATAATAAAACAGACACACACATACCGATTTATAAATCCATATCCATTTCTGACGTTGAACCATTTAACGGTACCAAGGACTTTGGTGGCTGAAATAAGATTAAGCAGACAAATTATTATCCTGACCCAGAAAGAGATACAGCTCATTCCACTAAGGTCCTGATAACATTACACAAAGCTTAAACGTACCTGAGTGAACCATGAATAGATTTATTTCCAAATAAATTAGGAAAGGAAAATGGAGCAAGTGAAGATATTATAGATACTCTGTGGAAGACTACTTTCTTTTTTGTGAAACTTTTCCTTAAAGTTGTAAACCAAGTTTACAAATTCTGCCACAGGTCAAACTGAGAAACACTTTTGAAGGGAAGGTGCTGGTCAGAGCGCAAGTTCCACACACTGACCCAGAAAACTTTCCTAACTGCCAAACAGCAGAGTGTAGCTCCAACAACAAGGGTCCACACACTTTCACTCTGCGTTATTAGGGGACTTGAATAAACAACAGAGTAGCTGCTTGCTAGTGGGAAATCTGCAAAGGCTTAAAGTAAGTTGTCTAGTTGTCAAGGGGCAAGCAGAGGAGGAGGAGTCCGGAGCAACAGCAAAACGGATGCTAGTTTGATCACCATCCTGAACAGGAAGCACCAGGCCTTTTCCAGAGACCTGGGCCGGTTTCCTTGTTTACATTGCTCTCTAGAGTTTGTGGGAATCAAACTTGGCATTTTCTGTTAAAGACCCCCTTTCTCTTCTATCAGGAGCAGGGCCACTTTACTACTACTTCTATGCCAAGTTTTAGCAGAATTTCTAAACAAATCGTAACTTCATAGAACTTGTCCTTTGCAGACACATACTTATGTGAACTGTTTTGGTCCCCGGGACCAAATGCAAATGTCCAACTCAGTACCTCTAAGGAAACACCTATGTCTAAATTCAGAAAAGGTATAATGCAATTATCAACCTAATGAAACAGTAAATCCAATAGATTAAAAAAAAAAAAACAGTGGAGAATGGAAGTAACAGAAATCCACACTGTCTCTCTACATAATACAGGTTTGCAATGATTTCCACGGGAAAGCAACAAGGCTTCAGTTTTTGAATTCAAAGCTAAAACAGTGATTAGGGCTTGCTCCAGCATGGGCTGGGTTAGCTAAGTGTGCCAGACTGATGTGCTTGGACAAGTCTTCTGGCTTTCTTTGCAGGAGGGAAAAACCCTGTACATCCCCATTGTGATTCAGCCCAGATTAACTGCGCTTTCTCTAGTCCTAAGGCGAGTGTTCCCAGTAGAAAGACCCAATCACCAGAATCTTTAGTCTGCGGGCATTCTCAAGGAAAAAAGGCATGCGACGTTCCAGATGTAAATGTACCAAGAAGCCAATTTTTGATCAATTATATGCACTTCAGTCACACGTGATTCCAAATAATACGATTTTTGTGCTTTTATTTGCCAAAAATAACATAGGAGTATCAGCATAGGAACTGTTTTTAACGTCTAGTGCGGTCGAAATAACCTTCTTCAGAAAGGCAGCGTTGACAGGGGCAAAGATGAGAAGCGATTCTCAAGTCTAACGCAGCCCAGGCCGGAAGCTATTTTTAATTCCCCACTGTTTTTAAATTCCAGAATTACTTCCGAAAACTTCAGAGGCAGACAAATCCATTCACGCTCTTGTTTTAAAACCCTAAACCCTACCGCGCAGCACTGGGGGGGGGGGGCAAGACCCCTCTAAGGCTTTCAGGATGTTCCTTAGAAGTCTTACTTCGCTCGGGTAAACTACCTTCCCTGGACGCGAGACCCACTTGCGAAAACTGGAATCAGAATCCTGGCGCAGGCATCCACTTCAATGCGCGCGGAGCCCGGCAGAACCACCGGCCAGACGGCGCTGACCCGTCTTCCGCGGGTCTGAACTTGGGAAGGAGGAGGGGCCCGGCGCCCCAGGCTCTGGGACGCGCTGGTGGAAGAGACCGACCTTCCTCTATTCTCTCATCTTTCACGATGACGTCTACTTTCTTTACGGCAGGATCAAGGGAGACCTGCACGGAGCTCCTCACTCCACAGATAGGGGAGCGGCGCACACCTGTACCCCAGCCCCCGGGAGGCAGACGTGAGAGCAGGCGTGAGCCCGGCCGCATTAGGGAAGCGGAAAGGTGGAAGGGCCTGGGGTGCCGCTCCACGAGAAAGCCCCGGATTCCCGCGCCTCTCGGCACCACCGAAGTAACGAAGAGCGCGTCCAGAGGAACGCGCGGCACAGGCCGGGCGCCCGGGCCGCGCGCCAGCAACTTCTCGTCCAGGAAAAG